TTCCTGTCTCTATAGATGTTCCAAAATAAAATGGATATATTACTCTTCTTGCTATGTATCGGCATTCTGATCTTCGCCGAGAAAATCTTTGACAATCACGCGTACAATAGACATATCATTTGTCGCATTCCATGATGGTATGACCTCCCTTTGCTGTGGCTTCTGCTGTTATATTCTAGTTTTATTGTAAAAACTTTTTCATTGAAACGCTCAGAAAAAAAATAATAAAAATGGGTTAGTTTTGATTTAATAAGATTTTATAAAGAAAACAACAAAAAATGGTGTCTGTCACTTCAAGCCGGCCATGTAAAAATGACTCGCTAAATTTAGCTTCCGACAGCTCAAAAGTCTGTCGCAGTCGCCCTCTGTGCTTTACCACCACTTCACAATCTGGTGCGGTGCATGTGCTACCTTTACTCCAAGCCGGCCATTCAAAAATGACTCGCCAGTTTTGGCTTCCGACAGTTCAAAAGTCTGTCGCAGTCGCCCTTCGTTCTCAACCAAGTTGTGGTTTATAGAGCTCATAATGCATTGACAAAACTGACAGCTTACCTTGTTTAAAAAAAAAAATATTTTTGTATGAGCGATTGAGCGCACGTTAACTACTAAGCCGATCATGCCATAAATTTATTTGAGAATTTTTAAAAGAATATTCCAAAAATTTCATTAGTAAAAGTAGTAATAGGGATAGTAAGGAAAAGACGCGTCAAGAAAATTATAATACGTGGTGTCTTGTGTATCTGCTCAAAACAAGCTCAAAACAACAAATTTATCGACTCGACCAAGACGATCTACGTTTTTGATGGGGATCATAAGCCCTGTTCAAAATCGTTCGGTCACATTTTTCGATCGGTCAGCAATAAAGCAATCTTATTGGTAGAAAAAGTTCGACCCAAAAAACCTAAAAAAATATTGGTCTAAAAGATTTTGAACAGGGCTATTGTGCTCAATTGTAACAACAATGATCTGATTGGCTATTTATTTCCAGTCCGATCTAGAATTGAACAGGGCATCATCTCGCGTCTCGTTAATACGACATAAACTATAAGTGAAATTACAAATGGTTAAAAACACAGGTGTCTCTGGTAAATTGGATGTGGCTAAGTAGCAACCCTACCCCTCTTTCCTTCTTTCGTTATATAGATGCTGTCGATAGATCAAGATCCATAAATAAATATTCCTCTATAATTACGAAAGCAATAAAGCGCAACAGTAATATAACAATCTCTGATAAGCTTAACAACACTCTGGACAAATTTAACGTCTGTGAGCTGTATTTATATTTTACACTGTTTATATTCCTTGCTTTAGCTAATTACCTACCATATAATTAGAAGGGAGAATACAAAAACGATTGGGAGGACTGGAAGAAAGAGAGAACGAAGGTACGCATACTATCCTCGTAAAAAAATTCAGAAAATATTTATTCAGTTTACTTCAATATATACAAACAGAGCGTAACGGTGACAAACATAGTCGAAACGAACTTCGAAGTACATAATGAATATAATTCTACATTTAATACTCCAACACTTGGAAAGCGAAATTCGAAAGATTCATCTAAAAAAGGCGCAAGCGCAAGGCGAAAGACTAAAAGAGTGAAATTACCCGACAGTGATGAAGACTTGGACGATAATAAAAACTCTAGCGAATCACAGTCAACCGATGAAAATCTAACCGATGGATCACCACCCAGATCTCCTCCAAATAAAGAAAAATTTCTTTCTACTCCAAATAAGCGAAATATGCATGATGTGGAGATTGTTCGGTGAGTTCATATATTCATGACGGGCATCTGACTTGGAGCAAGTTAATTTGATATTTTTGTCGTATATTAGTTATCTTGACGCCCTGGAAAATTGTTTGAAGCACAACCGAGTTCTTAGTGATGCACCCCCTGTATGGACTAAACCTCTAGAGGCCTACCTCGACAATGCTTTTAAAGTAAGTTTTCGCGTACTAACATGTTGGACGTTCAAGATGTTCATATCTTTGCTGTCAATTTTACAGAAAGAAAGAGATGAATTTAAGATGTCAATCATGCAAGAAATCAAAGAAGACAAAGGAAATCACTTTCGCCTGTATTGTGAAAAAATTCTAATGGATTTGTAAGTTTTATTTTGCCATTGTTGTTTTTTTGATGGCTAGCACTAAACCTTGCTTCCTAATTCCAGCTATAATTTGGTTGATATCTTTCCCGATATGTCAAGAAGAATTGGGGAACGAAAATACATCGTACAAAATATTTCTTCCCTCTTTAAATTTTACGAAACAACCTTTGGAAAAATATGCATTGATTGGATAGAATCACATTCTTCGGCAGGTAAATTAACAAAATCGACCACCAATTCCGGTATTATTAAGGTGGATATAAGAGGTAAGCAACAAATGCATATTTGTGATTCCACCATTAGGGCTCCTTAATTAATCCAACCAATCCTGAAAGGTGTCCGGTTATTGGATGATAAAGAAATTCTTCATGTGGAAGTTTCGGGTCCACCGTCGTTGCCAACAAAACGTCATACCACAGGTGATACGAAAAAATCATTGCACACAGACATTCTGAATTTGATATCAATTTTACTTGATCATCTTGACCTTTCTGTTGAGGTTGCGACACGGATTAAAGTGTTTAGTTTTCAAGTAATTGGTAGGCATTTTCTATTTATTTGTGAATAATAATTAAACTTACTGATTCTACATTGTACTTGGTTATTAGAATATCGAATCACATTTTATTCTCTCAATATGTTGAATGATGGTTCCTTTCTTGCATCAGAATTAGGTTCCGCTTTATTTCCTTTTTCATTTGACGCTAGAGCAAAGTACAAGCAAATTCTATTTCTTATGGGTATTTTTCACGTAAGTAAAATTATTCATATTTCTTATTATTCTTTAAGTTGCTAACAGAATTTCTGTGATTCTCAGAAAAAAGTTATGAATCAAATTTCATTAATGCAAGAACTCGATTTAAAAGTTGACCATTATAAAGGAAAATCCGTTCGAAGTGTCTTAAAGATTCCCATGGCTTTGAAAGAACTTCTACAAAAGAAATTTGATGATTGAAAATATACCATGCATTAGTTTTTATTTTTAAAGTGTACATCATCTGTTTCAATACTAAAAAATCGTATATATGAATTGTTTATATCATGCATAAATATCAAAATATTAATTACACGGTAAAAAATCTTAAATAAAAAATTTATTGCTTGCATCAGGCTTGTGATTTTTTATGTTACATGTGGGTGGTGTGATGTGAGTACATTGAGATAAGTAATTGACATTCTGAAATGGAATGCGTGAATGATTAAACATGTGTTAAGAGTTGATAGAATCGAGCGAAAGACTTTTGCAGTCATAATGATATATTGATTATGTGTTGAACATTAAACTTTATATAATATACGCTGTAGCCATATTTTTTAACTTATATATGCCAGCTTTCATGTTCGAAAATTGTTTGATTAACCACAACCTCTCCAATGAAATAATTTGTATTTTTCTATTCAAAAAAGTTGTTTCTTCTTATTGGAGTAGCATGGTACTTGGCATTTCTTTGTTTTCTTTCATCAATGATAATGCGAAGCTGAGCGTCAGTCCACTCGATAGAAGACATATTTTTACATAGTGAAAATTTTCTCTAAGAATGCCTGTTTTATGAAGAAAATATCGAATGATGTGTTAGATTGATTAATCGAATAATAACGGTGACTTAGCTATCATGTCAATAGATCAAGGATGGTGAAATCTGATTGGCCAATCATCTCGTGATACTTGCCAGTGCCTGGAACACTCCTAGAACTATCGAGAAACTGGCAGGAAGCTCGCATGTGATACGCCCTCTTGTTCATAGAACTTCGGGGTGATGAAATTCAAACTTTTCTCCTGAAGATCTTTGATCGAAAGAGGCCGAATCAAAAAAAAATCTGAATAAAAATGAATTTGATATTTATTAGAGTATAATATTGATAAATCAGCTAAAATCAATAAAAACATTATAAGTTAATAAATTGTTATAATTTGCTTCAATTCACTATAATTCACTAAATTACTAATTTATTAATTATGCCCAGTGCAATGGTTAAGATCATATTAGATAAGATTTATAATAAAATTATACCCAAACCTATCAATCTCCGTCTCAGATATAATATGGAACATATTTTTAACTATCGACCTCAAACTGATAACTATCAGTATGAAAAAGTGGTTGAAATAGAAAAACAATACGATCATTTATCCATTATTAGACCTCATGAAACACCTCAGCAAT